AACCTGATAGGGACTGTATTAACATCTGGATTACTGTTAGAGCATGCTCTATCCAGAATCTGAAAGCATCTATCCCATACACTTCTTAAGCTCTCAAAAGCAGAATGGTTCCGAACTCACTATATAGATGAGGCTGACCTCAAACTCACAGGAATCCACTTGCCTCTGCCTTCTGTATTGGGATTAAAGGTGTGCCCCATCACACCCGGTTTTGTAGGTATAGTTCATTTTTGTTTTAAGAAGGCTTTATTCTGTAGCCCAGGCTGTCCTTAAAATCCACTGTGTAGTTCAGGCTGGACTTAAACTCACTGCAATTCCCCTGCCTCAGCCTACAAACACAAGGATTACAGGCATCCACCATGCCAAACAAAAAAGGGTGTTTTCTAACCAGCACAGCATATTATTTTTCCCTGACACTTCTTTTCTAATTTTAGCAAAGGAGAAGACAGACTTATTTCAACTTAATCCAATTTCAAGAAATAAAAAGGCAGAGAATGAACCATTTCCTTCCTGTTTAAATTCATCAGCCTCTCTGAACAGGTGATTATTGTTCTTGGTTCCTTGTTGAACCTTCCACAAAATGGCCATTCATATTCAAGCACTTCCTTAGAAAGAAAGAAAGAAAGAAAGAAGCACACAATGCATATTTTCCTACTTTGCTTTTGTAATTTGAAATGTCACAGTGGTCTTTCTGTGTCAACTCATTTGCCTCTCTCCTCGACTTAGTTACTTCAGTCACCATCCCTATGTTAAGGTTGATTCTCCCTAGTCTCTTGCTAATGGACATTTAAGGCAATGAATAACTTTCGCCTTTACTGCCTTACACAAGTACAAATGTATCCTCACATTAAACAAGTACATATACAGCCAGTGGTGGTGGCAGCAGCTTTAGTCCCAGAACTTGGGAGGCAGAGGCAGGTGGATCTCTGTGAATTTGAGACCAGTCTAGTCTACATAGTGAGTTCCAGAACAACCAGGGCTACACAGAGAAACTCTGTCTTGAAAAAAAAAATTACAAGTGTAATGTATCGCCATGGTATAATTCTAGAACTGAGTTGTTGAGTCTGAGGACCTAGGTGTGATTTTAAAAGCTATTGCCCATTACTCCTATAGACCTCAGGGTCTAAACAGCAAAACAGTCATCTCTTTAAGGCTCTAAAGCAGAGGGAAATTGGTGTAGGGAATTGGTTACACATGTGGTAGAAAAACAGGAAACAGTAAGACAACACAGAGAACAGGAGGAGCCACAAGCTCTCCCTTCTGTTGGAAGGCAGAAGGCATTTCCAGAGCTTGGGGGCTAGGAAGGACAGGAGCTCCCAGAGCAGAGACCGCTGGCAGGAGCAGAAGTCTAAAGAGCAGCTGCAGAGAAACTGCCTGAGGCAGAACGGCTACAAGAAAACCTGGTTTCTTCTTTCTGCCCCAATCTCTCCCAAAAGCTCCCACCTGCCAAACCCAACCGGGCAAGACCACTCCCTACGTGTCTAGGAAATGCACCTGCAGGAGGGAGGCCCTGAAACAGACCTGAGCCACCAGGACCTAGAGGACATTAAGCCTTCTTGAGAGCTGTGACTAACTTGCACTACCGCCAGCAAAGGCTAAGATGGCCTTACCAACACTCAGTTTTCAAATTTTAGGCTTGGCACTGGTCAAACAGGTCAAAGTTGGGCTCTCCACATAGCTTTACTTTCATACTTATTTTGAGTACCCTGGGCTTCAGAGCACAGCTTCAGCATCCACACAGATGGAAGTGCAGTGGGACAACTCATGCCCATTACTTCATCTGCCCCAACGGCACATTCAGAAACATGGCGCAGGTGGTGGCCAGGAGCCAAACTAGCCAGTTATTTCCTAAGTAGAGGCTAAGTTCAAGAACTATTCTAAAAACTCTGAAAGGCACCCAGTGCCAAAGGAAGTAAAAAAAAAAAATACCTTAACTACACTCTGCACACATTACAAGGAACAATGTGTTCTTGTAATCTCGTACCCCCACTTGCTCCTCCTTGTAACCGCCTTCCAGCCATTCATACGCCATCCTTTCCTTATCTTGCATTGCAAAGAACAAATAATTAAAGCCTGGACAAAAAGTTCAATTATAAAAACTCAAGTAGGAATCAATTTCTGAAGTTCCTTTTACCTGACCAACACGCAAACAATAAAAAGATCTTTTAAATTATCCTCAGCCTCTGCTATAACTACTGTTTGAATAAATTTAACTTTTCTCTTCTAAGCAAGCTGAAACAGAGTTCCCAGATGCAGATTAAAGGGCTCTCCTATACTCTAACGATATGCTAAATAATGCTATGCTTTGTAACTCCCTGGTAACAGAAATAGTTTTATCAAATTTTTAAAAAAAAGAAGGAAGAAAAAACATCAATTATTTTTAAGGCAAAACAGTTTTTGGAAATGGAAATGGAATTACTACCAGTAACTGTATGTTAACGTCAACCCTCCACGGATCAAGAGTACTACAGAAATCCATCAGGTTCATACAATAAGTATATAATGACTCACATTTCAAAACTGTGAAAGATTTTCACTTGGTTCAAAATCAAATACTCTAAGATTGCCAAAAGTACCTGTCAGTGTCTTTCCACACTATAAACAGGAAAAAAATCTTGATAAGTCAAATCAATGGAAGTTAAAAAGTTGTTTTCTATCACCTAGCACTGTCCGGCATTTCAGGAGAAAAATCGATAAATCTCTTCATTGCTGAATGTCCCAGGAAGGTGGATCAAACGACACTGTGCGTTTACCACATCTTTTATAAGCTAGGGTTTTTTTTTTCAATTTTGAAAGTAATGTATGTATTCTTATTCAAGAAACCTGGGAAATGTAAAAAGAAAACTCCAGAGAGCTCAAGTGTCTACACTGTCTAGAGCAGAATGTATAAAATAACTACTTACTCCGGGTAACTTTTTAAATTGTGTGTGCGCGCGCGAGCTTGTTGCTGCTTGCCTATGGAGGGCAGAAGACAGCTCACTGGTTGCGGTTCTCTCCTTCACCTTGTGGCTCCTGGAGACTGAATTCGGGCTGTCAGGCTGTCTTGACAGCAGGCCTCTTAATTACTTATTTTAAATGTCTCATCAAAGTAATCTTACCTGATGGGCATTACTGTTTCCTTTTTTTTCCTTTCTACCATGGAATGCACTATCATTGACTGTAACATCTCTTTTAACTTTCAGAGTGCTTCTCTGGGATATAGTCTCAAGAGATATTAATAGCCCAGAGATAGTTTTAAGCCCTTTTGATATATAATATCATCCTTTGTTATAATTCTCAAATTCTATAAACTGCTGAAACACATTGGCTTCTAAGTTTTCTCCCTCTGTGTCTGGCTTTTACCTTCGAATCCCTCACAAGTGTGGACTCGCAGGTTCTGGAGCACCTGAAAAGCCATCCCCAAACCAGCTGGCTTCCTAAATTCCAGTGTCAACTGTTTAACTAGTGCCACTGTCTTTCCTAAAGTACTACGTCAAAGTGTGATCTAGGCGAAAGGCAAGGCATCCCCAGGGATCTTGTGTCTCCAGCCCGGCAGTCGGTATGTAGGAGGGTTTGTAACTGGGTTCCTTCTTTTCATAAACAAAACACCCACTCGGTGCCACTGTGCTACCCCTGGCTTTTACTATGAGAAATGAACGTGGCAAATGCCAAGAAGGGTGCCAACTTCCCACTAGCTCGGCCACCTCGTTTCTTTCAGGGGGGAAAAAACATCTGAGAAGCTCTGGAATTCTAGAAGGCACCTTGATTAACCACTTCACGGGGAAGCCTTCAATACTGCTGATTCTTACAGGCAGCTGTTCCAGCAGCCTGTAATTAAGACCTTTTTTTTTTTTTCTTCTTCCCCAAAACACTCCCTTATTACATGGGACTCTGATCATTCTGTCAGCAAAAAGGAAGATCGTTACTCAAAGTCCAGACAGCTCCAACTTGGGGTGTTTGGGTGAAAATGAGGGGAACTTAACCCTTCGCTTCCTCAATCAACGATCCACTCCACAAAAGGAGACTCTTTATTGTTTTGGAAAACCAAATTCACAAGATGACACTATAATTTGTATTCCACTGAGTAGCTTACAACCAACAGCACGTTTGCAGCAGGATGGAACTTAAGACACAAACAGCCTGAGCAACACCGAGCGAGAACTGATAACCCTCTTCTGGAGAGGTGTGTGCCACACGCACCTGCCCCGGAGTCTTAAGCTTTGCTGGCTGTGGCTCCTGAGTCCCACCCTCGGTTTTAAAGGGATCCCATCTGATCCCTTTAATTTCTTAATTATATTTTCCCTTTGGCAGTGTTGGGGATCAAACTCAGGGTCTCGGGCATGCTAGACATGGATTCTGTCACTGAGCCATTTATCCCCCCTCTTGATTTTTACACCTCCCCCCCACCCCGTAGCATTTTTTTCAGTTTGATAAAAATGCATGCTCAGACCCGGACTCGGGCAGTCTGCCCCTCTTGTCGCTTAAGCCATTCGCAGGGAACACTTGTGATTAAAAACCAGAGACGTGGTCATGATTTCCAACCTTCCTCCTTCCCCACCCCCCCTCCATGGACACCCTTGAGACATCCAAATTGAAAACTTTGCCCTCATTATTTCCCACGAGCTCCCTAGCTCCAGCCACCTGAGGAGAGCTGAAAAGGAGCGGGGCCCGTCCGAAACAGCTGGGCTCGGGAGGGCGTGGACGCCCTTGGCAATGAGACGCTGGGAAGGTCGCCCCGCAATGTGCCCCTACCTCGGAAAGGCGACCTGGAGCTGCGCCGCGGAGACCCCGGCCTCGAACCCCCGACCCGAGACCGCTCTGGAAGACGACCCCGAGGTCTCCGACGTGTCCTCTCACCAGGGCTGCGAAGCCTGCTCCCCGGCCTCACCCCACACACCTCGCCACGGTCGCCGTCACCCCACCCCACCCCCGGCCCCACACCTCAAGCCGGTGGGCTCTCCCACAGCGCGACCCCCGGCCTCCGGGCCGCCCAGCGAGCGGGCCACACCTCCATCACTCACCGCTGCCGCCCTCACCGCCACCGCCTTCGTCCATCTTGAGGCCACTCCCCGCCAGCCGGCGAACCCGGAGCCGGCGGGAGCGACAGGGCTAAAAGCCGGGATCAGAAGAAGCAGCGGCGAAGAGAACCGTAGAGCTACTCCGCGCGCGCGGCCCGGGTCGCGGCCGGGCCTCCTCGGAGGGCCGGGCGGGGCCTCACTGCTCGGGTACAGTCACGTGACGCAAACCACGCCTCCTCCTGCCGGTGTGGGCGGAGCCTAGACGCTGAGCGGTCCCGCCCTCTAAACCCCGCCCGGTCTTACAGCAGCTGCAGTTGCTGCTAGCCCAGAGACCAGGATCCTGCAGAGCAGCACACTCCCTCAAACCTCCATTCTCACGCTCTAGAGCATCCTAGAGACGAAGACTTGTCAATCGGGGGCACGGGGACGTCCCACTCTTCAAAGCCAGGTGGCTAGGGTTGCGACTCGCGTGCATGGAGTAGGAGAGTGGGAAAAAAATCCAGAAGTGAAGGCTGATGATTGCCCCCCCCCCAACTTAAAGGTAGGAGAGAACGGACTATAAAGTTTTACTGTGACCTCAGCACGCGTGAGCGTCCACACATTACATGCACACAAATAATGTGTGGGGACATAGTTTTGCTGTTAAGAGCACTTTTACTGTTCTTGGAGAGGACCAGAGTTTGGTTCCCACCACCCACATGGGAAAGCTCAGAACCCCCTGTAACTCCAGCTCCAAAAAGACAGCTGCACTCCTATCCACATATCTACACACAGACACACACCTAATTAAAAAGAAAATAAAAGTTTAAAAAAGAATAAGGAGCTGGAGAGATGGCTCGGCTCAGCAATTAAGAGTACAGGTTGCTTTTCCGGATCCCTTCGGTTCGATTCCTAGCACCTACATGGAGGCACACAAGTCTGTAACTCCACTTCCAGGGTATGTGACACACTTTCTTGCCTCCACAAGCACCAGGCATGCTTGTGGTGCATATATATGCACTCAGGAAAAACATGGGTACACATAGAATAAAATTTAAAAAAAAAAATGAGACAGTGTAACACAGGCTGTCCTGGAATTCTCTCTGTAGACCAAACTGGCCTCAAACTCAGATATCCACCAGGAATTAAAAGTGCGCGCCGGCTAAACAAATCTTTTTTTTTTTAAGTGCTTATTTCTAAAAATATTAAAACTTGGGTATGGTGATGGATACCTTTGATTCCAGCAGGCAGAGTTCTATGAATTCAAAGTGGGCTTGGTCTACATAGTGAGTTCCAGGCCAGCCAAAGCTACCTAGAGAGACCCAGTCTGAAATAATAATAATCTGAAAATGAGCCCTCTGACAAGTCAGCCTCTCCCCACCTCCACCCTTCTTCATCCTCAGGATGTTAGGATAATTCCAGCCTTTTATCCCTCAGATGTATACTAACAATGGAGTCTCAGTTTTCCTGCGGACTGGTTGCATTTTAAAATTAACAAAGTAGAAGGCTTGGAAATAAATGTAGTCATGACGTTGAACTCTAATCCCAGTCCAGCACAGCTGGGACCCGGCTCTCAGCAAGCATTATTATAGGAGTTGGCCAGTCTGGCGTCAGATGCCCTTGGAGTTGAGCTTTAGTCTCCCTTGGCTTGCTGCCAGCTGCCCTGGATTTATGATGCAGTAGGAGCTCTGAATTCAATTTCCCGTGGGCACAGCCCAGGGCTGAGCAGACGGCCTCAGTTCGCCCCTGCTCCAAATCTATGGCTTGCTTTTCTCATTCCGGGTCTCGTTTCCAGTAACCTCTCCTTAGCATTGACTGTGGGCCCTCCCGAGCCTTTCTGCTTGGATTAAATTGCATTAAAGAAAAGCAAACATTGTAAGGGAGGAGATAGTTCGTCTGTAATAAAATTTTTCAGCAACTGTTTTATATTTACAAATTGCCCATTGAATCAAAGGCTACTTCCCCCAGCACCTATTCATCAAAGCAGACAGCCTTCACCTTTTTGCTCAAGGTTATAGGATGATTTCAAAGGCTCCGATTTCCTGATAACCTCAAAAATTATAACCCCGGACATTCTGCTGCTTCCTAGATCATGAGGTATGCTTCTGTGAGTTGATAAGATGGTTAGTAGCTTGTGATAGAAATACATAGAGAAGCAATCTGGGAATCAAGAGATGTCTGTTCAAGTCCTGATGAACGAAAATGTGACTTCCTGATGCTGTGCCTGTGAGCTTTCTTATCTCAAGATAACAGCTTCCTATCTGAGGGGAAAAAATCAACAGCACTCTGAACACGATAATGTGCCAGGGTGGGGCTTTGAACTCAGATATCATCAATTATAAATGCTTCTCAATATTAATCTTTCTGCTGGTGGAATGGCTCGGTGGGTAAAGGTGCTTGCTGCCAAGCCTGGCCACCTGAGTTCAATCCCCAGGCCCCACATGGTAAAAGCACTGACTCCAGTAAGCAGTCCTCTGACCTCCATGCACACACCATAATACACCCACTCCCACCCATACACATACACACCGAGCAATAATGCAAGTTAATATATATTAATATTCATTCGCGATGTTCCCATTTTCTTGAAGCATGGTCTATAGGCACCCCTCTTGGAGTCTGGATCTAAAAGGCTGCTTCTGATACCCATCAAGTCCAATCCATTAGCATAAAGCACACAGAAGCTATTTGTAAGCGACGTGCATTACCCACCCTGGGTTAGCCTGAGCCCTCATTTCAACAAAGCCTGAAAGAATGTTGGGAGAAAAGATGGCTCGGTGGGTAAAAGCGTTTATTCTGTAAGCATAAGGACGTGAACTCAGACCCCAGTGCCCACATGAAAAGCCAGGCATGGCCATAGTGGTCATGTGTAGTAGAGAGACAGGTTGATCCTAAGAACTTGGAGGCCTCCAGCTCCAAACTGGCAAGCTTCCAGTTCAGTGAGAGACCCCTTCTCAAGGCATTAAAAAGGAGAGGAGTAAGAGGAAGGGATCTGGCCAGGTGGTGGTGGCACACCCCTGTAATCCCAACACTCAGGAGGAAGAGAAGCAGGCAGATCTCGGAGATAAATGGCCTACAGAGCTAGTTCCAGGACTGCCAGGGCTACACAGAGGAATCCTGTCTCGGAAAAAAATAAACAAACAAAGACGAAAGCATCTAACATAACATTCTTCTCTGGCCTCCTCATGGGTACCACACAACACACAAGGATGCTGGGGGATGGGGCTGAAGAGATTGCTCTACAGTTAAGAGCACTTGTTCTTGCAAAGGGCCTGGTTCAGCAGCACATGATAACTTTCAGCCACCCCTAACTCCAGTTTTAGGAAATCCAACATCTTCTGACTTCCTCAGGCAAAAGACATACACATGTAGGTGTACATACATTCATGCAGGCAAAACACTAATTCACATAAAATAAATCTTAAAAAAAAAACTTTTAAAGAACAATGGGAAAATACTTATGGTGTCATTTCTCCCTGTTATTGGAGAAATCTGATGATTTTTTTTTTTTTTTTTTGGTTTTTTGAGACAGGGTTTCTCTGTGGTTTTGGAGCCTGTCCTGGAACTAGCTCTTGTAGACCAGGCTGATCTCGAACTCACAGAGATCCTCCTTCTGCCTCCCAAGTGCTGGGATTAAAGGCGTGCGCCACCACCGCCCGGTGATATCTGAGGATTTTAAGACCTTCAAAATTCCCAGATGTTAATATCAGGGGGAAAAATTGATTTTTTTGAGAAGTCGTGTTTTCTGATATTTCATAAATTCCACAAAGATCTCTGTCATGCCTTCGTATACGGACATTTAAAGTTAAGACTTTAGCCACTAAGACACTCAGTTGGGTGCTTTTCTCAGATGTTAAAAAATGTCTTTATTACATTTATTTATTTGTAGGGGGCAGTGCATGCACACCATGGCACAGGTGTGGAAGTTAAAGGACAGCTAACAGGAGCCAGCTCTCCCCTTCTGCCATGTGAGTCCTGGCATTGAACTCCGGTTGTCAGGCTTGGGAGCAGGTGCCTTCGATACTAAGCCAGCTGAGGTATTGAAATCTTTCTAAGTACATTTATAAGGGAAAGGTCTCTTATGAAAAGACATGCTCCAAATTATTGTAGTAAACAAAATTATTTCATTTTTGTAATTACCAGGTCAGAAAAATAGAGATAGGTACCACTTTCCTTTTTATGTTTCTTAATTGCGTATGGGTGGGGACACTCGTGTGGCATCTGTACGGCAGTCAGGCGACAGCGTTCAAGAATTGATCTTTCTCTTTCCCCCATGTGGGTCTTGGGGAATCAATCTCAAGCCCTTTCATAGACTAGAAGGGACAGAGTCTAGAAAGGAGTATAACTATACAAATAGTTACCTATCCCGGCCGCACCTCTGCCCCAGTTCTGGGACCGGAACCCAGGGCAGGAGTACCCACTCTGCCCATTATAATTCTGATGTCCCTTGCCATTTGTAGCCATTCTTGTGTTTGCAGTTGCATGCCTTACTGGCTGTGCAGCCTCAGAGAGATTGTAATCTGTCTCTGCTATCACCTCCTGCAGGGTGTGGCCGTGTAAAAAGGGGAGAAGACAGCAGTGATCGCTGAGGGACAGGCAGCGTGACAAGTGGGAGACATCCTGCAAACATGTTGGAACCCATTTATCAGCCTCTTAACCATGGAGGAGACAGCTGGAGAAATCAAGAAAGTGCGCATTCCGTCGAGGTTGGGACATTATTTTTCTATGTTCATCTTTCTCTTGCCCAGGGAAGTCTGTGGAAGCAGACCGAAGTCTCTTCTTCTGGAACTAAGGGCTCAACCACCAAGGCCTGCCTGAACCAGTTTCTTCTTTCCCTTCCTTCCTTTCTTCCTCTCCCCTATCTGCTTTCTTTCAAGGAAACGGGGTGAACCTGAACTTGCTACGCACAGCAGAAGATGACCTTGAACTCCTGATCCTCCTGCCTTCTGGGGTTAAGCAATATCTAATTCATCTCCCTCTCTCCTCCTCCTCTCTCTCTCTCTCTCTCTCTCTCTCTCTCTCCTTCCCTCTCTCCCTCCACCCCCACTCTTTCTTTCTCCCTTCTTGTCTCAAAAAGATCTCCTGTGTATCCCAGGCTGGCCTCAATATCCTCCTGCCCCGACCTTCTGGATGCTGGCATTAACAAACCTGCCCCGTTGCTCTCAGGTGCCCTCCTCATGGCCTCGTCCTC